GTGTGTGTGTGTGTGTGTGTGTGTGTGTGTCAAAAAATTTGAGGATCTTACTTTAAGCTTCCATACAAAAAAAAATGTTGGGGGGGAGGGGGGGCAGAGAAAAAAATACCCATACAGTGCTCTGTTCTTTAACGAGGTAATTTACCCAGGGGAGGTCAGGAGTGGGGAAGTAAAAGAAAACCAGCAGTCTTTCTAACTTCTTTTTAATTGTTTAACTTTATTACTGTTGCACCATTTATACAATTACATATAATTTCAATGCATCCATTGTACATTTTTTTATTTTTTTATTTTTTATTTTTTTTTCCATTTTCCAATGAGTGGTGTGTTGGTGTCTGTGACACAGAATGAAGAGAAACTGGAACTGCAATGAACGCAGACTTTTTTTTTTTTTTTTTTTCATTTCCACTGACCAATAAACAGAACTACAGGTGCACCCAACCACGGACATGCATTAACTCGTCATGAGAAATCTAGGTAGGCTAAGTACGATGAGAGAATGTTTGTTACTCCCAAAATTATCTGGAGAGGAAGAATGGAGGGTTGGCATCGAGATACATATGGACAAGCTAAGTGGGCTCCGTCTGAAAGTTGGCATTCATCCACAACATTAAAAAAATATCAAAATAAGAAAGGCTGTAAATTAAAAAGAAAACACAGAAAATACTGCTTTCCTAAAGATCTGATTGCCTTGGCACAGGCCCTGTGGGCAGCATCAAACGCCCCACTCCCAACTCCCAGGCAGAAGCGGAGAGACTGGGCTCCTAGCGGTGGAGTCGTGCGTGCGTGCGCAGCAGTTCACGTACGAACCATGTACTGTACTTTCAGACGCTCATCTTCAAAATCCAGGACTTATTGGTAAAGTTGACTGAAGGTATATTAGATATTTCCCCACAAAAATACTATTTGGATTCTCCCACCCCCTCCCTCCCTCGATGGGACAGCATCCTTTTCCCCCCTTGGGCAATACATATCCTTACTTCCGATTTGAAACAAGTTAGTATAGGAGAGAGAGAGTGAGAGACAGTGTGAGAGACAGAGAAAGGGGGGGGGGGAGAGAGAGAGAGAGAAAGAGAGAGAGAGAGGCTGTTTGTAAGTGGCATTTCCCTAGGCGTCCCGGTTACTCTTTCACGGCCACGCTCTGCTCGGCAGCTGGGGCCTCTCCAGGCTGGGGCTCGTCGGTGGGCGCTGCGGGCGCTGGAGCCTTGGTACTACTAGGCGCTTCCGAGGCTGCAGGGGGCTCCTTGGGGCAGGCGGCCGCCTCGGCGCTGCTAGGTTTTGAGTCTGAGGCCGGGGCCCCGTCACTTTTCGTTTCCTGGGTGGCAGGAGCTGCGGGAGCCTCAGTCTTTTTGGGTTCCCCTTCCTCCTTGCCCGCGCCGTCCCCGGGCGCGCTGGCTGAGCTCTCCGCCGCGCCCGCCTCGGCCGCGCTGGGCGCTTCCGCGGCCCCGGGCCCAGGCTCCTGCGCGGGCGCAGCCGCTGGCTCGGGCTGCTCCTCAGCGCCGCCCTCGCTCTTCTCGGGCTCAGCCTTGGGCGCCTCCTCCTTGGCTGCAGCCGCCGCCTTGTCGCCTTCCTGCGCCTCTGCTTTGCCCTCGGCGTCCGCCGCCTTGTCGGGCTTCTCCTCCTGGCTCTCCTTGGCCTCTGCCGCGTCGGCGGCCGCCTGGGGCTCGCTCTCCTTTGGGGTCCCCTCCTCTTCGGTGCCCGTGCCTTCGGCCTTCTTGTCTTTGTCCTTGGCCTTCTCGTCATTCACATTGTAGCCCTTCTTCTTCTTGCTGAGCTTGCCTCCCATCTTGGAGCTCTGGAAGCAAACAGAAGACAAGACAAAAGGGGTTAGTGGCGTCAGGCTCAGGCGCAGAGCAAGGGGCTTGGTCCCACGTATTGCACTTGAAGAAATGGACGGCGGAGCACATCGTGCTACACGTATTGTATCACAGTTAAAAATAAAAACTAAACATGGGTCAAAAATGTAAAAATGGCAGTGGCAGTCACTCTAGGTCTATATGGGCTTCATCTTTTTTTTTTTTTTTTGGGGGGGGGGGGTACTGAGGATTGAACTCAGAAACACTTAACCACTGAGCCTTGTCCACTGAGCCTTGTCCCCGGCCCTATTTTATTTAGAGACAGGGCCTCACTGAGTTGGTAGTGCCTTGCCTTTGCTGAAGCTAGCTTTGATCTCGATATCCTCCTGCCTCAACCTCCCCAGCCTCTGGGATTACAGGTGAGCGCCACCACGCCCGCTGGGCTTCATCCTTTTAAAGTACATTCTGCATAGCTGCAATAAAGCACAAATCGGGAATTTCTAGGAAATAATCTCAAACTACAACTCTCTTCAAGCTCCTTCATTCATCTGTTTCTATACGCAAACACATCTTAAAGACCTGAGGGCAGGTTCACTCTTCTAACCAAGGAAGAGCAAGAGTGGAAAGTACACTTTCTCTAGCTTTATTTAATTTCCTAGTGTGTCTGATTTGTATTCATTGCTTTTCAAGGTACTTTTGGCTTAAACGAATAGTTCCATAGTAATATAAAATTGTCTCCTGATAGAATCTGAATTATATATGCCAGGTAAAGGGCCTTTAATGGCCTTTTCCACTCAAAAGTTACTTCTCTATCTTGAGGCTCTTTCTTCCATTCTGATTAAAGAACCACTGGTGTATTTGAGGGCCTACTATTTCTTTTTTCTTTAAGACAGGATCTTGCTGTGTTGTTCAGGTTCAATTCAAACTAGAAAACCACTTGCCTTAGTCTTGCTGAGGGGATAGGACTACAGGCATGCACCACCACACAAGCTCAACTGGTTCTATTTGAATCATGAATTTTTCTTCTCTGATACCAAAGCATTAAACCAGAAAAATAATAAATTATATATTCATAATTTAAAATTCATAATTCACCATTGGTGCATTAAAAAATAGGAAAACTTTTTTTTCTTCAAATGCATTTTTCTAGTATCATATCCATGAGAATCCACTGAAATGTTGGTCTTTCAAAAGATATCAGTTGCTTTTCCTATAGGAAACATGGCCAAAATTACATACCACGGTCCCCTTCAGTCCTACAAATGAAAGGTGTCCAGCAGAGGGGGAACACCTTCCCAGGTCCCAGCGGAAGCTGGAAAGTCCAAGAGACCATCTAGTTCTGGCCCAGGTCAGTGTTTACTACTGGGAGAATTATAGCATTCTCCTTAATCAGTCATCTTTTTGAAAATATCCACTCAGTACTGAAAATGAGCTGTTTATTCATTACACTCCTTGGAATCATGATTCATGATAGTAAAATAACCCACGTTCATCTTTTAAAAGTCAGGTGTGGGATAGAAAGCACTACTCTTCAGTAAAATTTGTCGCTCCACTCTATCCAAATTTTCTGTCTGAAATGACTTCAACAGTTGGGGGGGGGGGAAAGCAATAAATTGAAAGATGATTAAAATAGTCTTATTTTCAAGAAAAGTCTTTATCACATTATCCAAAAAATTCTCTTACATGTCTTTAAAAAATGGCTTTTGGTCAAAATCTATTTTAGATAATTCACAATTTTTCAAGCAGAAGTAGGAGCAAAATATATGGTAAAAATAAAATTTAGGGGGCTGGGGTTGTGGCTCAGCGGTAGAGCTCTCACCTTGCATGTGCAAGACTCTGGGTTCGATCCTCAGCCCCACATAAAAATAAATAAGTGAAATAAAGGTATTGTGTCCAACTACAACTAAAAAATAAATATTAAAATAAAATAAAATTTAGTTTTAATGCAAAGCAATAAATGAAAATAAAAATAAATCTGATCAATATTTTAAATTATAATTTGTAACTCTCAGTGAATTCTTAATAAGCCAGTGTACATGGATGGTTTATATCAATTATAATTTTAGTTCTGATATTTCAAAATTCATTTTGGTAAATTAGGTTGAACTAAAAAAGAAGAAACCTGATAGGCCTGCAGTAAGTATCTTCTCCCAATTCCCAACCTAGAAATTACGGACCATGAGACAAATAAATGTAGTGTGCATTGTGAGCATAACGGGGGTGCTTCATTCTGACACCCACAGCATGAAATTCTATATAGCAATCCCCAGAGGTTAAAGTCCTGTTGGTTTACAAACCTAAAATCTAAGTTACTAAAATTGGTTTTCTGAAACACAATTAAAGTCACATTCTATTCTCTAAGTCCAGCTGCACTGCTTTTCTGGGTAAGAAGTGAACATAATCAAGCTGTGGTAAGAGAAATTGTCTTTAATTCTGTTCTTTTTTCAAATGCAAAGTTAAGTAAATACCCCCAGTTTTCAGGTAATTTACTTGTGTGAGCTATAGTGAGGTAGCAGAGAAAGACTTGTAGAATGCCCTAGATCCCTGGAACAGCAGGGTCATCTGGTGAGTTCCCAACACAATGGAGTGAAGACCTTGCTTACTTTCAGGGGTAAATGAAAATCTAATGTTTCCTAGGTTCAGGCAAAATCCTAATCCTAAACATACACAGTCACTTAACTCTTTAAGCAGCACCATGCAGCTGTTGGCCATTAGTACCCTCTTTACCCAAAAGGAAGTCCTATCTGAGTTCATGGTGCTGTTTAATAAGCAAAAGGCCAAGTCCAGCAACATCTGGTAGGAAAGAAGACACCATTGAGGAGGTCAGAGGGGACTCCACCAAGAGGCTGGCAACCAGGCAGAGCTTCCAGCCCAGGAATGTCACCCTCTTTGGGTCACAGGGTCACAGATAGGGATGTGGGGAAAGTAAGGAAAAAAAGTTAGCTTTTCATCTTCCTATTTGCCAAAGAACCTTTGCATCCACACCCTTAGGAAATAAGGGAGAATATGGGCATGGAGTCTAATAATTTCCCTCATTTCTATTAACTTCTGTTTATGGAAAAAAAAAATCATTTGGCGGAGAAAGTTGGAACTTTTAAGTTGAAAAAGAGATACATATTTCAACAAGTTACTATTTAATTCTCCCTTGAAGTCACTTAAACCTAAACCAAAGCAAAACCCAAAGGGCTAAGGCTGCCTTTACATTGGTCCACATTCAGGCCATCCACTAGCAGGTGAGTGGCACAGAAAGGATCCTCAGATGCCGAATGCAGACTAAGTTCCATGTGTTCATACAACAACACACACTAGAGTTGATCTCAGTCCTCACATCCCAAAGGAAAGAAAATCAGGAGCTGTCCTTTAAAATCACAAGAAACCTCTCTGTCACAAGGGTCAACCTGATGTAGAAAATAATTAACAATAAACAGCAATAGAGAAAAGTATTTTGAGTTTAATCTGGTAAATGTTGGACTAGAATTGTTTCAGGGAAACTCTGGACACTGAGTCATGGTTGTCTAGTAAGGTGTTAATAAGAATTCTATCTCCATAGCACACCAGCCTTGAATCCTTGGGTAAGTTATGTAACACTGCTGTCCCACTATTTCCTGTAAAATAACAAAAATCAATTTAATGGGAATTTCATTTGAGGCATCAGTACAACATTTGACCTTTCAGAGGTCTACAATAAGTGTTAGTTCCTTTCCTTATCATTTAATTTTATAATTCTTAAGTAATTTCATGCTTATAAACTGCAACAGAATAGCAAACATGGATTTCACAAACACACATTCTAGAACCAGCCATTAGAAGCACTGTACTTAAAAGTATACATTAAAAATAAAAACTTTAAAAAATGGTATCTAAAGGATGTTTGGTATGTGTTTTATACCAAATTCCAAGCAAGCTCCTGCTCTCTCTGTATATGTGTAAAGGAAGTCTGTACAGTAATCTACTGTTGCCATACTGCTGTTAAAATCAGTCTGCTTCTTTGATTTGAATGCTTTTATGTACTTAAGATTTGAGAGGTAGTGAGTCTTTTTAAATAGATTAACAGCCCATTATATGAAGAAATCAGTTTCTAGACAAAGATAAAAATTACAGATTAGTCATCAAGTTCATTGCTCTTGTTTTGAATGAGTCCCAGGTGATCATGGAAGAACCATCCTTCCATCTTCCCTGAATTCTCATGACCTCTTCATCACTTGGTTCAAGCAAACAAGAAACTCTACTTTCATCATCAGGATGGAAAAGAATCCAATTGCCTTAGTTAAAATTCAATCATGGCCTCAAATTTTTATGCATGAAAGCTAAAAAATTTGATCTGCACTTTGTCTTGGTTAATAAGCTAAACATAAAAGACTTCTGAGGAAGTAACATTGTCAAGTCCCCTATCAACACTTCCTACAGATTCATTTTTTAAAATATCAAAGAGTTTAATATTTTAAAGCAAATAGATATACACACACATATATGCTAAATCTCCCACAATTGTCTTATAACCAATTCTATTCCCTTTGCTTTATAAAACCCAGACTGTATTTAATTAATCCCATTGGCTATAAACCAATGTTCTAGAAGAAATGTTTTCAAGTCCCACACCCTTTTGCAGTGCTAGTTGATCAAAACAACCTGAAATGGGAACCTGGAAAACCAGAGGTAGGTCTAGAAAGGTTACAGTTTCATTGGTGGTTAATGGCCACACCAGCCCAGTTCTTTTGGCTGACACCTGTTGAGGAACTCAGAGTTTGCACCCACGTAATATGCACCCACCCCCTCTGGAGACTGACATCATGGAATGGTTGTCAGATTAACCACACTCTCTTGGCTGGCACTAGCTTTCTCTTGCTTATTGGTAATTCTCATAAAGACTAAGTACGCATTTATGAACTTTCATGAAACTTCTAAACCTTTGTTTCTCCACCTTCTTCATCAGAAAAGCAAATAAAAGAACAACTTACTAGTTATGTAAGCCAGGTAAAGTGATTTTTTTTTTTTTTTG